TTACCCAAAGGCTGGGTTGAGACTATAGTTTTTCCCTCTTTCAAGCCAGTGAAAAAAAAAGTCTGGTGATTTTAGTGGATTCTTTACTCCCAGAAGTCATATAGCACTCTGCAATGTCTTGGCAGGGGTCTCCAACCTTTCTGAGAGTGAGGGCTAACTAAAGGGAGAAAACTGTCAGGAGGGCTGCTCTGTATACTTGATGAACATCCATGTTTGGATCCACAATCCCATTTTTCGAATGGTTGGTGTGGAAATAATTTTTTCTCAGTAACAGAGGATGAATGCCAAACGCAGGAGGGCAGAATAGGGAAGAGTGGTTTCTACTCATTGTCTCATTGTCCATTTTAATGAATAGAAACATATCAGTAATGTATTTAAATATTTTGACACAATGGAACCCATTTGTACGCTTCTTAGCAAGTGTCAATTAAGATTGAGATTAGGCTGTGGGTACCTCTAGGCTACCACGTTAGAGACCCCTGCTGTAGTGCATTTATAGTTTTCAAGTTAACATCATACAACATACTTCCATTATGTCCTAATGATCTTTAGGTCTCTTGTACAAGAGTTTAGATTATTTAAAAAAAAAAAAAAAAAGTAAACTAGTCACACATTGGACCCCTATAAAAGCCAGTATGTTGACCCTTTTCTACTGAGGAGAAAAAAATCTTCTCAAAAACTCCAAAACATGAATCTGCATTGATTATGTCATCTTGAGAGAAAGATGTGTAGCCTTAATTGTGTAGGCTGAAGCAATTGTTTTATTTTTTCTTCAAAGTGTTGAAATTTGAAAGTATATTACCATTTCTTTTAAACACTTTGAAGGTTATACGCAAAATGTACATCTTTCACTGTAGGAGGAAAAGAACTAAAACTCCAGGCAGCAGCGCTCTTCTACTCAGAGTGCGGTATATAAGAGAGGTACAGGCTAACCTTTAGCTGGTCCAGTCTTGTGCTCATGCCCTCTGGGACGCTCTGCTGCCAGACTTCCTGAAACTCCCTCAGGTTGAACTTGACAGCATTTTGCAGAAGCAGTAGTGCCAGGCCCCGACACACTTTATCCTCATGTAGTGCATAAAAAACTTTGTCTAAATGGAGGATAGAGAGATGTTAGTAGAGTGTAGTTTGAAATTGTGTATGATACTACTTCTAGATCGTCCTACAATGTACTAATAAAAATGTAACATCTGTCAGTCTTCAGAGATTGTTTTTCTTTACCGTTTTCATTATAGTGTTTCCCATAGCAGTTCAAACAGTGCTCGATCATCTCTCTGTAAAAAGAGAAAGGAAAAGTTATTGGCATATATTATAAGACTTATCTAGCCTTATGATAGATGCTCAGAGACTCAGTATAACCTCATTGTTTGGATCCAACGCCTCAATAAGATTAAAAATAAACTTTAACTGTCAATGTTTTGCTTTTCCGGTTGCGTGAACATGAGGATGAGAGATGTGTTACTTACTTGGGTTCTAGTGGAGCTAACTCTTCCAGACAGGTTTGAAGGGGAACCTTGTTGAAGGACCACGACTCAGAATCCACCAGCTGAGTCACGTGACCGAGCAGCTTCATCTCGTAGTCAAAGTCCAGAACACGCCAGTAGCCTGGAAGACAGAAATTATACTCTCTCTAAACATCTGGTAGATATTTGTTTTGTTATTTATATCAGTAGTACAGATAAGAATAGAGAGATTGTATTTAAAAAAAGCAACTTCCCTGCACTGTGCCTTTAAGGAGCACTACATCAACAGTGTTCTGTAACCTATTTACCTCCATATGTAGTTATTATTCAAATAATGTCACTGTTTACCATCTATCTGACAGGCATGGATGGTCTCCAGGTGGGTCTTTATCTCCTCTTCACTGGCCTGGATCCTCTCCAACAGATCCTCCATTGTGTACTGGTAACAGAGGAACACAGGAGACCCCTTACTAACAGCTACACTAACATTCAGAAGAGGGGAACACTTAAAACATTTTAAATGCTGCCGTCACCTTAGTCAGACTTTTGATTTAAAAGCCATGTACTTCCAATAAGGAGAGGATGAGTCATGGACCGATATCGGCATAGATGAATGACATGATACAGTCAGAGCTGCACTAATAATAATAATAAAATGTTTTT